GGGACAGTGGGGCCAGCAGGTGCAGACAGGCAGGGGTTAGCAGTGGAGTGGGTGAGCAGCCAGCTGGACAGCAGTGGCAGTAGGGATCAGAGCAGATCAGCAGTCAGGAAAGCTAAACGGGTCTAGCTGTGACCCAGCTGGGGTGACAGGGAAGTCCCTCTGGCCTTTGCTCTGCAGCCCCCCAAAGTCGCCTTCCCATCCAGCTTGGATGAGGCTGCAGGGGAGATGACCAGGAGGGAGAAGCAAGGCCCATGAGGAGACAGTGGACACCCCTTCGGGAAGAGAAAATATATTTTGTCTCTAAAATTCCAAGACTTGCCCAGCCAGTGTGGCTCAGTGGTCAAGCTTCAGCCCATGCACCAAGAGGTTGCTGGTTGGATTTCCCATCAGGGCACATGCTTGGGTTGCGGGCTGGTTCCCCAGTAGGGGGTGTGCAGGAGGCAGTCAATCGATATTTCTCTCGCTGATGTTTCTATCTCTTACCCTCTTCCTTCCCCGCTCTCTAAAATTAACAACAACAACAACAAAAACTAAAAATAAGTAAATTCCAAGAACTTGCCAAAAAAGAGAAACAAAAACTGTCTTTATTACCCAATTCTAGAGAAAATGATTCTGCACAGCGGCAGAACCTCGTAGCTGCCATAGTGGAAGGGACGTGAGTCATGAGGGTGGTCTCCCAACCTGGGTGACCTGGATCCGCTCCAGGTTCTGAGAGTCAGGTGCCTGTGGGCATGGCCCGGAGCTCCGAGGAGGAGGCCTGGGTAGGTGCCTCCCCATCTCACATGGATGTGGCTGTGGTGGGGGGTTGACCAAGATCCATGAGCCACAAAACACCCCGAGGAGCTAGAAGACGGCCTCTCCGGGAAGAGGAACCGGTGGAGGAGGCCCAGCCACAGGTCCCCTGGACGCGGAGGGAACCCCGCTCACAGGTACGAAAAGGACCAGGTTCCTTGCTGGGCTTCACCGGGGCAGGCAGCCGGCCACCGGGTCCGGCCGCAGCACGGGCACGAAGTTCATGGGGCACAGCAGCAGCGGGCACATCTTCTCGTGCTCCTTCAGCGCCTCGCTCAGGTGCTTCAGCTCCTCCGTCAGCTTCCCGATCTCCCGCCGCAGCACTGCGTTTTCTTGCTCCAGGCACTCATATTCCTGGGGAAGAGGGAGTGAGCAACTTCATTTCTTCCCCGTCCTCCTGGCAGATCTAACCCGCGCTGTGATGCTCATCTCCTTTCCACAAAAACATTCTTGTGAACCTGCCCCGCCTCTGCCATTCATACCTGTTGGTGCATTTGCTTACTGTCTCCTCCCGCCAGGAGGAAAGGGTCAGGAGGGCAGGCCTTTGTCCAAAACACTCCATGAGGTGTAGTTTACAGAAAATAAAATGCACCTACCTTATGTGTATAATTCAGTGAGTTCTGACAAATGTAAATAACTATGTGGATCGATTCAGAATGCTTCCACCACTCTGGAAAGTTCCCTAGTGCCCCTGTGAGCCTCCCCTTCCCCCAACTGCTGATCTGTCTTCTAAAGGTCTCTGCTGGGTTTGCTGCTATAGCCCCGGCACCTGGATCAGTGCCTCGAACATAACACGTGTTTGTTGAGTACTGAGTAAATGGACGAAAAGACCCCTTGCTTTGGCTTTGCTCCAATACTCATGTGTTAAGTTTCCTCTACAGCAGAGTTTACAGGGGCTTAGAACTGGAGGGGATCATAGAGACCCCTTAGCGGCTAAGGTCTCTTAAATACGGTCTCTCTCAAACCCACACGATGTAGAAACCTTCCCTGTGTAACTCTAGCTCAGACGCCCAACTTGTGCTGAGCGTTCTCTCTTTCAAAGGACAGACCTTGCCATCTCTCTGAGCTGCTCTATGAGGAAGCTCCTCGTTGCACTGATCCAAAAACTCTCTCTCCTTCAAACCCACCTATTGGGCCTGGTTCCACCTTATGGAACCACATAGAGTAAATGCAATACTTTTTCAACATCGAAGTTCTTGAAATGTTAGGAGGCAGCCCCATACCACTTCCCTTTAGGTATTCTCTGAGCTCAACGGTCTCAGGTCCTCTGGGCTCCTTGGGTTGTGGGAATCCTGGTCCCTGTGCCCTCTTGGACGCCATCCAACACATGCTCCAATTTGCCAGGGGCTCTGAGAGAATATCATTCCCAACATGCAGTGCAGGATTCCAGGGATGGCCAGACCATGCAGAGAGCAGATCGTGCAGGTGATCTGCACTGGGCTAGACCCAAACCACAGCCACCCTGCTCCGGGGACTCCCCCCTGAGCATGCAGAGAAGTGCAAGCTTTGTCTGTATCTGCTGCCTCTTTGTCTATACTTTAAGGACGATTGATCTTTTGGAGCTTGAGGATGGGCCTTACACCCACCTCTACTGCATTTCACCCTGTTCCCTTGAGCGTCTTCCAGCCTAGCAGATCCTTCAGAATCTTGATTGTGTCAGCCCCTGGATTAGTGAGACCACAAGCTTTAAGCTGTCCACGAGCTTGGTAAGCAGGCCTTCCTTCCTTTCCTCCAAGTCATGAATAAGTTCTGCAGTAGTTGGCCAATGACAGAGGCCCTCTTAAGGCTGACAACCTTAGTTAAGTCTTGCTGAAATGTTGTTTACAGTCATTTCTAGGTCGGTTCACACTATTGGGCTTTGTTGTGCCAGGCATAACATGTTTCCTGAGCAGGGGGCTCAACCTTATTATCTATCACACCTTTTCTTTTACTGGTCATATTTAAGAAATATCACTAAAAAAAAAAAAAAAAATCTGATCTTGCAGGCTCTTAAGGCACATGCAAATTCTCAACTCTGCCCCTGGACTGCCTTCCTCTTTTTCTCTGTGGGCCCAGCTCAAGCCCACCACCTCCAGGAAGGCTTCCATGATCATAGCACCTAATGGAAACATCTCTTATTATGTGTGTCTTATTCAGTCTCGTATCATATTCAATCTTAAATAAGGTCTCTCTCCAAAGGTCAGAAATGTATATAGCACATGGGGCCTCTGCTACCCTTTCCTGTACCCCACCTGACAGGCCCCCTCAGGGGGCCCTCAGCCCTCTGTCTCCTTCTCTCACCCCCTTTCTTCCCTCCTTCCCCTATAGGCATCTTCCTCCCTCTAAGAACAAGGGACCCAGAGGGGCTGATCTGCTCTGACCCCTACTGCCACTGCTGTCCTCTGCTTCCTGCCTTTCTTTCCCAGGCAGGCTCTCAGGATGGTCTGGGATACTCGGCAAGGCAGCAAGCAGGCCTCACCCCTTCTCCCCACAGGTTGTCCTGGGTCAGTCCGGCATCACTAGGACATTGGCCCTGTTCTGCCTTCAGCCCTCCTCCAACTCCTCATGCTCTCCTCTGGCTTCTGACAAGCTGCAGTCCTAGAGTCAGAATTCAGTCTACAAACACAGCAACCAAGCCCTCCGTGAGCAAGGGGAGGGTCTGGATGGGAAGATGGGGGTGGGAGCCTAGGCATCCGGGAGGCCTGCCTGCAGCAGAGGGGTGAGAGGCGCGTGTACACACACACACACACACACACACACACACACACACCTGGAAATGCTCCCCACTTCCAAGTAAACAGAGAATAGAAAAGAATGGTTTCAATGAGCTGACGTTTCAACAGGATTCCAAAGAATAGGGAACTCTCCTCTTGTGGCAAATATTCCAAACTGACTTTCCATATTTGCTGCATTTTGTGGCGAGACGCTGTGAGCGTCTGAGCTTTGTCTCTGGAAGCCACACGGAGTCGCGCTGCTTAAGGTACCACTGCTCTCCCCCAAACCCCAGGGCGGAAGGGCTCAGAGCTGCCCGCACAGGCGCCCAGCAGGCCCCTCGCCTGCCTTCTCCGAGGGGACTTTCTCCTCTGAGATTTAAGTTTGACACAAACATGCTGAGGGACTTTGATCGGGCCGTGTGAATAAAAAAGAAAGAAGAAGCAAAAATCTCCTTCAGGTGAGGCCAGTTCTACAAAAATAAAAGGGGAGGTGGCAGAGGGGAGAGAACACGGAGAGGGAACACAGGGGAAAGAGGAAGACCCCCTTCGCACCAAAAAGAAATTCCCTGGACTTCGCAGACATGAGAAATAATCAAGAACATGAGACCCTTTGCTATTTCCAAAGAGATGCTCAGTTTAGCTCAACGACTGGTGTTGGAGGTTAATGAGTCAGTCCTTTGCCTCAGGAGGATTTGAGGATACTGGGCTGCCTTCCTGGGTATCTGCCAGGACGTGGTCACCAGGAAGAGAGACCTACAAATTAGAGGTACTGAGGTCACTGCAAATCCCAGTTCTGCTCAGAAATTAAGCTGTCGAGGGCAGTGACGCTCAAGTGGGGCAATGTGTCAGTCCCCAGGGGACACCTAGCGTGTCTGCAGACAGTTTGGGGGAGGGGTGCTACTGCATCTAGAGGGCAGAGGCCAGGGATGCTGCTTCAGGTTCTACAGTGCACAGGACAGCCCTACCCCCCCCCGCCCCCCAACAAGGAATTATCTGGCCCCAAGGTGGAGCAAGCCTGGCCTGGGCATCTAAAAGAGGTTGACTGGGGGCTGTGGGGCTGTCTGGCGATATTCAGGGTCCAGGAGGCCTCTGAGGCAGAGGGAAGGATCAGGACTGGTAAAAAAGACAAGGTGGGTACCAGGGACCAGAACTGATAACTAAGGCAGGAAAGGACAGGCCGGGGAGGAAATGGCCATCAGGACACAGCCACACACGGACCCCATTTCACAAGCAAGAAACAAACTCGGAGAGGCCCGGTGACTTTCCCAAGGTCATGTAGACTAGAGCCTGATCCCCGATTTCAAGGTCAACGGCAACGCTCATGCAATGACAGCGATTCAACCTTCCCTCGGCACTGCCTGGACTCAACTGTCCCCATGGCGGTTACCAGCAGAAAAGGGTGGTACTAGCTCAGGATTTTACAAGAAGTCTATTCCCAAACCTTACACGGATCCCCTTCCCGGCAGAAACATGTGTCACCAGCCAGGGCAGTAAAACTTGGCGTCATCATCCGTTTCTAAACCAAGTGGGGGACTAACACGAAGCATTCTCTTAGAAAACGCAGTCTCTGGAACAACCGGGGCAACACATACCACAACCGGATTACTCAAGACACGTGTCCGTTTGTGACATTCGGGGCTCCTAAGGCTGGCATCGCGGCCCTCCTTTTCTGACTCAAAATTCTTTCTCAGTCTTACGCCTTTCGGTGCCTGGCTCCAACCAGTCTGACCCACTTCTGAAAGGAGCATCTTTCAGCCTCTGCCTCAGGGCGCTGGACTGTTCGCTGGGGTTCCTATTTGTGAATGTGGACTCAGGCGTGTGCCTACCGTCCAGAGATGAATGGGGGTCGAAATCCCCATGAGAGGTGTCAGCGCCTTGAAGCGGTGCTTTAAAAAGCCACAGAGAGCACTGAGGTCCACAGATGCACATTGGGAACTGCTGTCACCACTGCAGTCCAACTTCCAGCAACTGCCACCCTGAGGGGAAAACTCTCCCCTGGCTTAGCCTGTCCCCACTCTCCCACTGGCCTGCCCTCCAAGGCAGGGAGGCGGGGGCGGGGCG